TTAAAACACAGCTATCGTTGGAACATTAATATTTTTCGCTTCGTCTCTGGACCCCACATTACTCTCTTTTTCTCTTTCTATTTAACTACACGCGCGTATAAACTGTATGAATGGAACATCAAACGCATACACTCTAACATTCAAAAGTCGAACATTTCCGTAAAGAGGTGTTGTGAAAAATATCGTGTGCACCTCGGGTCGAGAGCTTTTTCAGACTCGTGAGATTTGCCGCCCTCGCCTTCGACTCGGGCGACAAACTTCACACTCGTCTGAAAAACGCTACTTTCGCCCCTTATTGGTGTACAATATATTATTTAGTGGTTACAACACTTAGGCTGCATTCTAATATTTACAATCAGCAATTATCAGTATTGAAAATCTATACGTGACGTAAAATATAGATTTTCAATACTCACAGTGAATATCAGAATGCAGCCATTATTGACTAGATATCATATAGTAGTTCCTCCCGGGAAAAAAGGATTAGATCTGACTAGATCAAATTATATTGTCTACGCAGATTTGGTCATATATGTTCATATAACTATATATGAGGTGTAATTTGGTCTTCGACGGCTCGGACCATATCTACTCAAATCGGATCATATCTGCTCAGGTCGAACCATATCTGTGATTGAATTTTATCGAAACAGTCCAGATCTGATTGTATCTGTTTAGATATAACCATATCTATATACTCGAATGCGATCCGAAATACATTACATCTGACCATATCTGTCCAGATATAAATCGAACTGAGGTTGTGTTTAATCGAAAACTGTTCAGGTCTGACGATATCTGACCATGTTTAACTATAACAAATTAAATGTTCGATGTTCGTCTAATATGATATTAAAATATATAAATATGAATTTATTTATAGATACATAGCAAATTAAAGATATTCAATTAAATATCTTTGATATAATTATATAAAAATTATTTATAATAAAAATATAATTTGCAGAAAACAAGTATTTTTTATTTAAAAAAAATGTTAGTTATTTGTTATAAAAGCATTTTTATCAATTTGCCTTATATCTAAAATACAAAAAACAATCACAGAAATATAAGTTATTTCGTACACGTTGTAAGCTTATAAATAATGGATAAACAAAAGTAAAAAAAATTCTCAGTTTGATTATTATTTAATAGCTAGATTACATTAAAAATTTTATTAAAGTTATTTGGAGACTTGCATAAATAATTACCAACTCGAACAAGAATATTAGAGACTTTACATTTTTTACTTTAATTAATAATAATTATTTACTGGTTATACAGGGTGTAACAAAAAGATCGGGAATCGATTGTTGTTAAAAAAAAAACGGAAAAAATTATTTTAAAAAATTTGATTGCATTTTGTAGACGCATTCAATTTTGCAAAATTGTAAATGTAAAGATTAATAAAAATTAACATTATTATTTGATTCCTTTCATTATTTTATGTATAAAAGTATGAAGGTAAAGTTATCGAAAAGTAAATACTTTATGAGATATCTCATATTTTATATTAAAAATGTCATGACGAAATTTAAAATATTTCAGGAAATTCTTAACGAAAGAGAGCTTTATCTTAGTGTTTTGAAAATATCTCAACAAGGGTTACAAGAATATGACATAAAAAATAGAGGTCCCCGTTTAAAGAACTCAATGTGACCTTGATGTGACTTTCTCAAGATCGTTCAAGGTTAAATCAATATCACCACATAATGGATAAAACTTGGTACCCTACAAGTTTTGTATAATAAAACATTTCTTCCGAAAACATTATCTTTCCGAAATAATTCAGTATCCCGAACTTTTTGTTATACCCTGTGCAAATGTCGGATCATCCGATAGATAGCATTCGATGAGATCTATTTCTCGTATTTAAAATATGACAAACAATAGTATAAGAACGGTATATAAATCAAGGTGTACGGTACAACTTATATCATCAGTTGTATCGCACGCTTATAATAAAGTGGCACACAATTTCGAATTAAATCGATATTTATGGTTTTATAACATTTTACATCACTTCATAATTTTTAATTATATCTGAGCAGATCTGAATACATTCGGTAAATAATAATTATATCTTGGCAGATCAAATTATATCTGGTCAGATCTGGTTATATTTGTTCAGATCTGGTCAGATAGAGACAATTTGCAGATCAAATTATATCTGGCCAGATCTGATGAACCAGATCTGGTCATATCTCGGTAGATCTAATTCTTTTTTCCCGGGCTATTAACCCACTATTTCACATTACCCGCACTTCTTTTATATTATTCATTCTCTTTCTCACTTTTTGTAGAAAATGTATTATTGTTTTTATAAAAGTGTTTATATCATTAACATATACCTTTTAGCTGATTGCAAAGTAGGAAGAGATAAATATCGTTGAATCATATTTTGATTAATGGCGGTGATTTGTAGCCAATGTACGAAACCACCTATAGTAAGTCCCCAAATTGTGTGTCTTGTCAAAGGACTCCAATCCATCCTATTGAATAATAATCATGTTTTAAATTAATATCTTTCTAATCCGCTTTTATTCTATCAAAGATTCTCTCTCACACTCACTTATTTATTCAAAAAATTGTGATAAATGATGATGACAGGACAGATATTTCATTTTATACATATTAAACCAATTATAATGTTAATGAAAAATATCTCATAAAATATCTTATTAAAAAAAATGTTTTAAATCAAAAGAGACACAAGATGGCACTATCCGTTTCATCATAGGTGGCGCTACTGTCAAACGAAGGTCTACTTAATTTTTTAAATAAAAACCCCATTTTTTATTATTTTATATAAAAATTGAGATAAAAACAAATACTTTTTATTTGCAACATTTTTTTTAATAATGCAAATTTTTCGAGATAATCGACTTTAAACAAAGAAAGAAGGGAGCAGCGCCAAGTTTTTTTACAAGAAAAATTTATTTATTTTATTTTAATTAATTTTTTTTTATTTTGTACTGTTATCTTTTTAATTCTTTGATTAAAATGATTCTTTGTAATATTATAATTTTGTTAAAAAGAATTAAAGCTTGAGTTGGAATGGGAAAACTCTTGAATGAGAATACAAAAATATACGTATCACTTGAGTTTTACTTTTTAAAAATAGTTACACAACAGTTATTTTTCAAAGCAATATGACGGTGCGGCGAGCCGCAACGTCACAACACATTCTCTTTGCAATTGGCGCAATGTAAAAATTTCACATTTTTTTTGAAATACATATCACTTATTTGAGTTAGGTAACGCAATTTTGTGAATTATTTTGTTAGGGAAAAATTAAGCTACTACTATTTAGGATTTTTGGATTTACAACATACATTGCGCGTGTACTTGGCGCCTTTTTTTTACCTTTTTTGAAAAAGTCAATTCTTTTTACCAGAAAACTATGGGAAATATTTTAGAAGCAATAATAAATGTCTTTAAAATGTGTGTCAAAATAGTTGTGTTTGAGCGGTTTAACAAACATACATTTTGATTTAATGAATTTTACATCACAAAATTGTATTGAAATGCATGTACATACAACACGAGCGCGTGCACCATTGCTCATATACACTTATCATACCGTGTGTACCAAAAGTTCCGGAACGGCCAATCATCTCAGAAAGTATTGGTTTATGGGAAAAATGTTTCAAATAAGAGTTGGAGGATTCAAAGGAGGCCAATACATGATCTTATTAGATTTTGGGTCCAGGGCTCGTGTTGGACCCAGTAAGGTTCAAGTCAAATTTTTTAAATAATGTTCGAAGTTTAAACGGAAATTCGAGCGTATTGCTAGATCACGCGCCCGCTGCGTGCACATTCATCGAACGAGCGAGCAACAACGCAAGCAAAATAAATACCCCCCGAAAATACGCGTACCTTCAGGAGAGTCAGTCGCTCGTAACGAGGCACAGAACACAGTCGACTTCATATCTCGCTCGCTTCGTTACTCGCTCGTTCAGAATTCTCAATCCGAACCGAATTTTTGTAATTGTGGAGGAGAGTGAAACCGACGACGCACAGCCCTCAAATCGGTGCCAGACGCCGATCGATGCCTTCAATAACAGCGAAGCGCAAAGTATTCTCAAGACTCTGAGAAACCGAGGGTCACCATCGCTCTCTCCTCCCTGTGTCGTTCTATTAGACATTAAATGTGGCATTACTCTCGCATTTGTTTCCTGCTCCCGACTACCCACGGGAATCCTCCGAGTCACACCCGCTCCGCGCTCAAGTCTGAGCGACCCGGCATCACAGGCGATCTTGGCGAGATCGCTCCTGAACAAATAAAATTCCCTATTTTTTATTGTATCGTCCTTTTTTCCTAATTAATTTGAACAACTTTTGTTTAAAACATTTTTTTATTTGCTTAATACTTTTTTAGATATTCAAGGAAAACTTGGTAACTTTTTCAATATTTAGCTTACGATATCTTTTGATACTTATTTGTCAGAGGGAAAAGTGGTATAGGACTTTTTGACTTAATTTGGTCTCAAGAATATGCTGTTGCAATAGTACCTTAACTTTTTTAAATATTTATGTAGACATCTCCTTGGAGCTTTCATGTCTACACTACTGGGCCCCGAACCTAAAATCTAATAAGATCATCTATTGGCCCCCTTTGAATTTTCCAACTTTTATTTGAAACATTTTTCTCATAAACCAATACTTTCTGAGATGATCGGCCGTTCCGGAACTTTTGGTATATGTACATACAATTTGATATATGTATATGAGCAATGGTGCATGCGCTCGTGTTGACACACATTTTAAAGACATTAATTATTGGTTCTAAAATATTTCTCGCAGTTTCCTGGTAAAAAGAATATAATTTTCTTCTTCTTTCAACCTCAAATAAGGTAGCAAAGCATGTTATACAAGTTCCCGTTGAGGGCAAAATATGGCGATTTTTATACCCTCTCCTTTGTTTTTATAAGTATCTATGAAATTACTAATTATTAAAAAGATTTCTGAGTAACAATAAAAATATTCTTAAATAATTTATTCCTTGATTCAAAAATATTTAATAATAATGAAAGCAAGAGTAATTATTTCTAAAGATAAGCTTTTTATCGGTCATAATAATTTGTATTGCTTTACACAAGTATTTTTATCAACAACAATAAATTTTAAAAAATAAAGAATTTTCTACCTAATAAAAAAAAGGTAATTATTTATTTTAGGGGAGCAACCTCCTGCGACCTTAATCTTGACATATAACATATATTATAGAGGGCACTCTTCTGAGTCACCTAAAAGTTTTAGCCGTCGCTCATTATTTATTAAAAAGTCATTAACAAAAAAGTTTAAGAAATATAACAGTTTGTGTCAGTGCTAAAGGAAGTAATTTGTTGATATGTATGTATAGATAGTACATATGTAGGCTGGGGAGGAGCTACGTCCTTTTCCCTGGAGCAGAAGTGGGAGGAATGGATCTCGGTCCGCGTAAAAGTTAAAAACCCGAACCGTACAATGCTGTTCAGAGAACCACGCAAAGTGAGATCCACTCCACCCTACCCTTGTTTACAGGGCAAAACGAGGTCTATCATTGTTCGGTTTAGGTTTTCAATTTTCCACGCGAAGCAAGATCCACACTCCACCCTACCCTTGTTTACAGGGCGAAATGAGGTCTATCATTTTACGGTTTGGGTTTTCAACTTTCTACGCAAACCACCCCCGCCTACATATGTACTCTCTATACAATATACACACATATCAGCAAATTATTTCCCTTAGTACTGATAGAAACTGTTACTCAGTTATATTTGTTAATAACTTTTTAATAAATAACGAGCGACGGCTAAAACTTTTGGAAGGTTACTCAGAAAAGTGCTCTCTATAATATATGTCAATGTCAAAGTCGCAGAAGGTTGCTCCCCTAAACTAAATAATTACTGAAAAAAATGTTTAGTCTATCAAATGTTCAAAGTGATGGCTATTAATTTCAATACAAATCTGGAGACGTGAAATCCGGCGAATAAGTAGATTAAGTGACATATCCTTTATGTCCTTATATCTATAGATTTTTGTGTCCGCGGATTAGTTAAAAAAATATGCTATTATACCTACAACAGCTCCGAATATGCGATAGCGTATTGTTGGTGCTTGCGCTTCTATTACTTCACAAACTGTGCAAAACACTGAATGGAGTTTTAGGAAACGTATTGCAAAATGCATTGAGTCTATCGTATACTAAAACTAAAATAGAAAATTAGCAAAGGCCCCTATACTTACATTGGTTTGTATTTGAAATATTGCTTGAATCTCTCGGCTTACTAACCCATACAGCACAAACAACATTGCTGAGACGTTGCAATGTTGAATGTTGAAATATAAATATCTTTCTGACGTTGAATCTATGTTGATTTTTCTACAATTCTTTATGTTGATACAACATTAAAACAAGACCAACTTATAAATATTTGAGTTAGAGGCGAATATAAGCAGACTTCTGACGAAGCAAAATCGCGATATCCGCGAGTCTTTGGACCCGGTGCTTCTTTTAAGATCTAAATTATTCCTCTAGAATCTAGAGGAATAATTTAAATCCAATCTTGTGAGCTTAGAAAACAGTTGTAAAAACAACACATTTTGCTAAACGCGGTCAATGTTAATCAATATTTATTTAACAATTTAATTGTTGTTGCATTGTTTTTAATGTTGGCCAGTTAATATATATTATTACAAGATTTTTGAACACTAAAAAGATATGTTATACACAAGTATAAACAAGAAGGAAGCGTCAGAGTCAGAGGATCACTATACTAGCCCGTTCGATCATCGAGCAATGTTTTCTGAATGTTGAATTATAACGTCTACAAGACATTGCAATTCAGCGGATATTAAACGTTTATGCAATATCTTTTCAACGTTGAATCTACATTTCGCAACGTTAGTGCAATATTGCAAATGTAACAATGCAATGTTTTTGAGATTTTTATTCAACGTTTATATGCTGTATGGGTAAGTGATTAATTAGACGATGAGAAAGATCTTTGTATATTTAAATAAATGCTTGGGCAGAGAAGGGACAAAGCCCCATATGTCTTTCCCAATGTTACTCTCATTGTCAGTCATTCCTCAGTTTCACCATTTTTATCAATTTTATCTTGTTCCTATTTTTAGTCATATATCTTTAATTTGAAATATCTCATCAGGAACTATAAGAGACTGCCGCTTGATTCAAAGTTTTATTCAAGAATTAACTCTCTATAACATACTCTCTATAACATGGTTCTAGGAAGAAATCTCCCCGGAAAAATCCTCCCCGGAAATAAGTTCCCGGGAAAATCTCCCCGGAAAAAATCTCCCCCGGAAAAAATCTCCCCCGGAAGAAATCTCTCCCGGAAAAAATCTCCCCCGGAAAAAATCTCCCCATCCAAAATTTCAGTACTACTGTATTTCACACAACTGAGCACACAACTCACACTCCTAACGCTGCAGCAGTTGAGACAAAGCGCGTTGTTGCAAAATTACGAAGAAAGCGGTGACAAGCAAGGAAGCATCATCGTCGTT